AGCGCTGGCCGGGCCCGGCCGGGGCGAGGGAGGGCTCTGCTGGTGGGCGGGGGGCCCTTGCAGCAGGGCGCGGGCGGGTGTCATACGCGTGCCGGCTGCCATCGCGCTCTGCTATTGCTCTCTCTTGGCCTATGTTTGTACCAAGATCAGTGCTGCTGTCTGGCAAAGGAGCTGTAATTCTGCATCCATGCCTCCAAATTCATTTAGCTGCATCTACCTCCGGTCTTTAAATCCCTTATTTCCTACTTAAAACCGGAGGAGTTACAGTTTCCTTAAAATCGCATCACATCCCTGACACCTCCTTGCCGGGAAGGAACGTTCCTAGCGAAGACCGTGAGAGCAAAGCCTGCAGTGGCACCTCTAGGACCAGTTACTGGCTTGTTTACGTCTCACAGGTCTGGCCTCTTGGGGCTTTTCAGTGCATAAAGAACAGGTTGTGGAAGGCCTCGGTGCACAGCTGTGTCCCCGTTTCTCCGCCGTCGTAACTGTGGTTGGCAAACTGGGGTGTTGATGGCAGGGTAACAGACTTTCCCTGAACACATCCATATAAGCTGTGCTTTCTGTTCAGTGGGGCAGATGCATCCTTCCTTTTTCTTGGTTTCTGTTCTTTGCAAATTAACAATTTTCTCTTTTATTTTGGAAACTTTTGGTGGAGGTTTCAGTTGCAATCTCTGAAAAGGATGCTCGTGCTCTTCAGTTTCCTCCTCTTGAGTGCTGTGTTGTCAAAAACAGTGGCACTACAGATTAATAATTTCTCACTCTTCTACATATTTAGCAGTGGATGCGTGATGATCCAGAAACGCAAAGCTCAAAAGACTGTGTGCAGCTGTCTGGTTCAGTGACTGAATGGGTCGTCTTCTGCGAGAACAGGAAAGGACCTGTGCTTGGTAGATCCAAGCACAGCCATGGGCTGGGCAGAGAATGGATCGAGAGCAGCCCTGAGGAGAAGGACTTAGGGGCAATGGTGGTTGAAAAGCTGAACATGAGCCGGCAGTGTGCGCTGGCAGCCCGGAAAGCCAACCATATTCTGGGCTGTGTCAGGAGAAGTGTGGCCAGCAGGTCGAGGGAGGGGATTCTGCCCCTGTACTCTGCTCTGGTGAGACCCCGCCTGGAGTGCTGCGTCCAGCTGTGAGGCCCCCAGCATAAGAAGGGTATCAACCTGTCAGAGCGAGTCCAGAGGTGGCCACGAAGATGCTCAGAGGGCTGGAGCAGCTCTGCTATGGGGACAGGCTGAGAGAGTTGGGCTTGTTCAGCCTGGAGAAGAGAAGGCTCTGGGGAGACCTTATAGCACCTTCCAGTACCTGGAGGGCCTCCAAGGAAGCTGGGGGGAACTTTTTACAAGGGCCTGTAGTGACAGGACAAGGGGTAACGGGTTTTGATTGAAAGTGGGGAGGTTTAGATTGGATATCAGGAAGAAGTTCTTCCTGGAGAGGGGGGTGGGGCACTGGAACAGGTTGCCCAGGGAAGCTGTGGATGCCCCATCCCTGGAAGTGTTCAAGGCCAGGCTGGATGAGGCTTTGAACAACCTGGTCTAGTGGAAGGGGTCCCTGCCCATGGCAGGGGGGGTGGAACTAGATGGTGTTTAAAGCCCCTTCCAATCCAAACCATTCTATGATTCTTTAATCTTAAATAGGCAAAAAAATAAGTGTGTATTAAAAAAAATAGAAGATTGGGACAATCAGAAGGTACTTTCTGCTAGAAATACTGAAAAGCCAGTCATTTGAGTTGCTTTATAGTCTTTATTTAGAGTAAGATTTGGTTATTCTTCCTTATTACCCATTAAAAACACTGCATACAATTGAAACCTTAACCTTCTTGGAAGGTGGGTTTTTTTTAATCACAACTTCTAAGAGCTTTATGTGGGGGAAAAACTCCCTAGAGTCGCCACAGTGTATTTACTTAAAACGGAAGCACAGGTAGGAGAAAGGATATGGGTTTCTTCAAGCATGGTACTTCAGCCAGGGACTGTGCACGTGGGGTGTTCCTGCGTGCTGTAGTTCGCAGGTTTTCAGCAGAGCAGCAGCTTGCTGAAGTACCTTGTGCGCCTGTGACGGCAGTTGGAGCTGATCGAAGCCGTGTGGCCGTCCTTCGGAAACACACTGTTTATCCCAGGTCCGCTCTTGGTTAGCGCCAGCATTACTGAGGTGAAGTTAACGTGCCTTTGTGTTGCTCTGCCTAAGGATCCTGCTGGCCATCCCGTTTCCGTCGTTGCGACTTAGGTGTTGCGCGACCAAATTTCACTTGGCTTCTGAATTCCGGTCCTGCACCTTCACTGGGGTCAGGGCTCTGGAGCTGCAGCCGGTGCTGCGGTCCGTGTTCCCACGTGGGTACCTTGTTCTTGCGGGCGCTGTGGGAATGCGGGAGGGTGACGGTGTAAACGGCGCTGCGAGGTTACAGGAAGCAGGAGGTGTGCTGTTTCATGGGTCTGGTCTTGACGCACGCTCGTCTCCGCCCGTGGCTCCGCGTGGACGATGCCGGTAGCCAGAAGTACGGCTGTCAAACAGTCGCTTTGCTTTGAAGGGACGTGGTATTGTTTGCCGTTGTAGGAGAACGGAAATGCGATGGAAAACTCCACTGGAACAGCACGTCTGAACTTCCTTCAGGAATTTGTTGGCAGCGAAGAGTGCCAAGAGGTTGGGAGGGTCGCTTGCGAGCTGCTTTTATGAAGAGTTGCCCGGAGAATGTCCGATGCCGCCGTGCGCGTTTACTGCTTGCCATGTTCCTCCGTGTATATGTTGCTTACGGTTGTTTTGGGTACTTTTAGACCTGTTGGAAACAGGACGTTCTGATGGCTGAGACACCCTGTAGGAAAGGTGTCCTTTTCTTTGATTACTGACAAGTTTTGAAGTTAAAACCGGAATGTTTTGAGATGATACTGCGTCTTGGAATGTGAAATACCGGGTTGATCTGGGTAATCGCCTTCTTGTATGTTAGGAAATAATCTCGTTTTGAAACGTTTTGCTTGCAGTGAATGTGAAATGGGGAAAAGAGAAATTCGATGGCGTGGAGCTTAACACTGACGAACCTCCAATGGTCTTCAAAGCCCAGTTGTTTGCGCTGACTGGTGTCCAGCCAGCCAGACAGAAGGTTATGGTCAAAGGAGGAACTCTGAAGGTAGAAATCTGTGGCCTGTTTTGGTATTATTTCAGACTTTATTGCGTTATAACACAACGCCTGCATGATCGAGTGTTCCTCCCGCAGATCCTCTGTTGTATGAATGTGACAGACTGCACTTTTCTGAAATAATTTGCTATGATTTATTGCCAACTACGGGGAAAATCCTGGCAAAAGCTTGTTGCCAGGTGGTTGGGAGGCACACTGCTGTTTTAAAACACCTCTGCCCTCTTTTACACCAAACACCGCTCGGCTTGGCTGGTTAGTTTCTCTTCCTTTTTAATGTTTGGAATCTGAGTGAAACTGCCTGCTTTTTAGCTCGTTTAGGAAGTTTCTCTGGCGCTTCTTTGCTGGAGACTTATCGGCATAAGGGAATGGGGGGCAGCTTTCCTACCAAACGTTGTTTACATCTAAGCAGTGTTGAACAACAGATTGAGAACGTTATCGAATAGATGACTCGGCTGCTTTTTATTGTAGTCAGGCAAGAGCTGATGAAGTGTAAGTAGTTAATATTGTGGAATCTTGGGTGCAACGCAATTGTATATGTAGAAATATGTGATTAATATTAATGAAAATACTTGCTCGTCTTTTGCTGCAAGATAATTAACTTGTCTTTCATTTTTTGTCTCAAACACAGGACGATGACTGGGGGAACCTAAAAATAAAGAATGTAAGTTCAGAGGAATATCTGAATTTTACTAGTTTGATTTTTGTTTTGGCATGTGAAGAAAGGTTTAAAGTTCTTGCTGTTTCTCTTTGAATGGGTCGCTCTTTCTTGAAAATCAAGCCTTGATGGAAAATAATTTTGTAGTTGCCATACCTAAGCATTCTTACGGCGTTCTCACCACTGAATTGTAAAAAAACTGGTTTTGGTGTCGGTGGGGAGATTACAGCGTCTTCCAGAAGTGCTTGGGAGCACGTCTGTCTGTCTTTCCTTCCTTGAAGTGGTATTCTGGGTCAGAGCGGGGCTCCACCTGTGACTGTAATAACAAGTGGTGTTCTTTAGGGAGAGCTTGTGAAGCTGGGCGCCGTCTGCGCTCCGTTGTGCCCGCACGTCCCTAGCGTGGAAAATCATTGTGTTGCGGGTGCTGAAGCTGCAGCTCTGCCTCGTTCCTTCTCTGTCCACCCGCTGAAATTTGTTCTCCTGCACTAAATAGCTGCTCTTTTAAAAAGAAAGCCATTTGTAATGGTTATTCACACCACTGACTCGTTTCCAAAGAAACTACAAGTGAATGTATTTGTGTTTCTTACGGCAACAGGGAATCCCAAAGGTTTTTGGTTGGGGGTTTTTCTTGTGTCATTTTAATTTCTGTAGCTCTCTTGTAACATCTGTTTGGTACAGGTTTTACTCCGGTTCTTCCCTGAGCAGATTGAATGTGGCAGCACTGCTCTTGCCTTTCTAGTTAGTTTGCAGTATCTATTAGCAGCAACTACCGTAGCAAAGTCAGTGAGCAAAAACCCTGGTGTGTAATGTTCTTGCGCGTTTCTGCGTGCTGTTACGCTTTGTTAATTTTGGTAATGTTGCGTACAAGTTCTGGGCATTTATTTTCACTGTCAGAGCGGTTTCTTTCCATTCTGTTGCCCGTCCTTTGCCCGTCCTTTTCCTTAGCACTGTATTTTTCAAGGCCCCAGATAGCCGTTTTCTCCCCCTTTGGCAGGTCTTGCTGTGTAGATGTACTCCTGTGGAATGCTGAAACTCCTTGCCCTGACGCTAGCCCGGCAAGCATGGTGACTCGACGGCTTCCCTAGCCCTCATGCCTAGATGACCCTGTTGGTTTAGCCTAGTTTTCACTTTTCAGTTAGCTCAGCGTCCTCAGAACTTGCCAGACCAAAGGAGGGCACTTCCCTTTCCCGCTTGCTTTTTGGGTGAAAATAACAGTTCTGAACTCGGAGCCATGGTCCTCATTACCATCCACATCTGTCTGAAGTGCTTCCCCAGATTCTAGGCTAAGGATGAGGGATGTTTCCGGTGTTGTTTCAGGAATTCTGAATTTGACCACTCCAGACTCGTTGACTGAGAAGCTCAAACGTTGCAGCGTCTTTCAAATCAAAATTTAGCTGCTTGGTTATCCTTG